CAAGAGAGAAAAAAGGAGAGGAGCCGAAGTATAGATAAAGATAGGAAAAAGAAAGACAAAGAAAGGGAACGTGAACAAGATAAAAGAAAAGAGAAACAAAAAAGGGAAGAAAAAGATTTTAAGTTCAGTAGTCAGGATGATAGGTTAAAAAGGAAACGAGAAAGTGAAAGAACATTCTCTAGGAGTGGTTCTATATCTGTTAAAATTATCAGACATGATTCTAGACAGGATAGTAAGAAAAGTACTACCAAAGATAGCAAAAAACATTCAGGCTCTGATTCTAGTGGAAGGAGCAGTTCTGAATCTCCAGGAAGTAGCAAAGAAAAGAAGGCTAAGAAGCCTAAACATAGTCGATCGCGATCCATGGAGAAATCTCAAAGGTCTGGTAAGAAGGCAAGCCGCAAACACAAGTCTAAGTCCCGATCAAGGTAGTATACTTTTTAAAGTATTTTGTCTGATTTTTAAAAAAAATTTGACTGAATTTATTCAAAGTTGAAAGTGTCCTTTCTCTCTCTCTCTTTAATAAACTCAGTTTGGTACTTGATAAATGATCATAGTCTTAAATAATTTTAGAAATCCTATATAATAATATTTATTTAAAAATTGCAGATTCTTTAGTGTAAAATACATTTTTATTTTTAAATTTGTCTTTTCCCTTTTTTTTTTTCAGATCAACAACCCCTCCCCGTCGTAAACGCTGAGGAATGATGTGGCAAGAATGCCATGATGTTTAAAAAATTCCATGAGTTTTAAGGGCTTGTCTCATTATAGAGGCACATTGTGGCTGTGTAGGTGAAACCAGAATCTTTTTTTTTTTTTAACCTGTAAATAGGTGTACTTTTTCCAAATGCTGCTCCAAGTTACTTAATAGGATTTCTTTGTATTACATTTTTTTCAAAAAATAGTGCTTAATAAGACTATAAACATGCCATTCTCTTTCAGCTGTAATGTTCTTAAAATTATTCTTGAATGTACTGTGATGTCAATAAAGCTCTTCAGTTCATTTTTGTTAACCTCTTGCACCTTAATTTTATGATTTTAATCTAAGGAACGTACTTTTATAAAAAGGCAGCTGGAATTTTGTATAACAGGTTTTAAAGGTACTTCCTCTCATCTTCCCCAAAGAAAATGGTTTTAACTTAATAGTTTGTCAAAGTTTGTAAATTGTACCCATGGATTTTTGTCAAATTCCAACTTTAAGGGTGTGGAAAAGAGCCAAAAATAGACCTTTACTTTTCATTTGGAAACATTTGACAGCTTTCTAAACTTTTCTTCCTATTTTGAGGATTTTCAAGTAATATATTCTCTGTATATAAAGTATGGTTTACTTCTGTACAATGAAATTGCTGGAATCAATCAAGCCAGTGCACCATTAGAGTCATTTATAAGGAATAATTGTGTTTGACACTAATAGTCAAGTCTGGAACTATATTCTGCAGTTATCCACTTCTGTTTTAGAAGCCTATTTCAAACACTGGGGGTATTACAAAAATAAGACTCAGAATTCAATATATTTATTTATATTTTTAAAGTATAATATGACCTCAGCTCAGTGGAGGAGTGCTGTATTATGCAGGTTTGTGTCAATTTCATGACATTAAAATGGTCTGGTTTTGTCACTTTCTTACAATTATGATCAGTGAGTGGTTTAGCTATTTAAGGCAGTCATAACTTACAAGTAAAATGAGGCTCTGCAGGCATTTAAATGCTCGACTGCTTTCAGGGTCTGTTTTTATGTGATTATTCACTTATGCCACAATAGATATATCTCTGAAAACAAATACTTCTAAATTTTAATTTGAAACGAGCAGGTGCAGGTCACGGAAAAGTTTTAAAGTATGCCTTCTTACCAGCAATAGTTCCGTTTTAAAATAAGCCAGATTTTTGCCAAGATCAGTGTTTCTTCAAAATGAAGGTAGAAATAGATTTGTTAAGTGTGCTCTTGTACCTCTACATAGGTTCTTAAATAATTTTGAGCAGTTATGCATTTATCTAGAGGAGATAAATCAACTGTGAATAAATGCATGTTTACCAAAATGGTTGTTTTACAGTGCATTTAGTTCTGATATTTATAAAGTTGATATTCACAGAATAACTTTAGTTTGGAATTCTATATAGTTTAGACATCAGTCACATGTGGAGACAAAATGAAAATGTGCAATATTTTTTATGTAGGTGAGCTAACACAATGTACCTAATTGCAGAATTATCAGATTAATTTGTAATAGATAAGTTGTATAACATTTTCATATCTTAATGTTTTTTAGATCAATCTTCAGGTGAAACTATTTTCAAAATAAAATTCTACAGAAAAGTTCTGTTGGCTATGATACGCACATTTTTGGGCAAGACAAATGACTAGAGCCAAAAATAATATTTGACAGTTTTATTTACTCTACCATAATATGCAAGCTTCTTATCATTTAAATCTGTATTTTTTAAAACACAGTCATGATATATGTGATTATTAGTAGATACATCAGTGTTATAATTAGATATTTGGGTTTTTTAGGTTTTATGGATAATTTAGAGAATTCATCATTTCACTGACATGTAATGAAGTATGTTTACCTTAGTGTAAGATTTTATAAAATAGGGCTTCCATGATTTGGGATGTGAATGCTAACACACATAAGTTAAATAGATACATAATTTGGTTATGAAATCTAAAATGACACCACCAGAAAATCAATAGATTCAATTTTTGAGACAATCATTGGTCTGAATTGGTTAATAACACTGTCTTGGGGGTCTCTTTTAAAATATTTCTAGTGTGTTAATCATACTTGTTTTTGTGCAATGGGGGTAAACCACACCATTAAGAGAATAAAATGTAATTTGGAAGAGGTAATTACAAGATTTGTTTCATGAAGGCCCCAAAATATAAATAAAGACTGGTGTGGAATCTCAGTGTATATGTTTTCTGCCATTGTAAAATGTCTTTTTTTAGCATCTGTTTCTAATGGTATAATACACAATAGGGGAACTTCCCAAACATAGTCTATTTTTTTTTTAATGTCTAAGTTACTGTTTCTTCAAAGAAACACACCAAGTATAATTAATTAGTAGGTGAGATTTTTTATTTTATGTGGGAATTTTTACATAGGAATTGTATAAGGTTCAAGTTCTGTAATACTGTCTTATGGAAACCTTTACATTTAAATGGAGTTTTTCTCTTATATACATTAAAGTCTATTTTCATTTATTGAAGTTTCTAAAATGTACTAATCATGGTTTAATGGAAATACTAGATCCCTTGGATTGTCCTGACTCCGCTGCTTAATATATTTTGGGCAAATCACATAAACACTATGAGCCTCAATTTCTTCAACTGTGGAAAGGGGGAATTAGGTTATTTCTAAGGTCTTGAATACTTGTAGCCCTTAAGTTTTTCAGTTTTAAGTAGAATTTGGCTGTGATGTCTAGCACTCTAAAGAAAATAGGCTTTTTTAGCCCTTAACATAACTCGTGTGATGAGTTACATTATATACCACAAAGGTTTATCAGGTATTATCTATAGAGTTTTCCTCTAAATACACAAAGGATTAAATCTGCCACAATCTGATTATGGTAGTATAAGTTGAAATTATCCTAAGTTACCAATTTACGTGGAATTCTGTAAATATGAAAATTTACCAGTTAAACTCTGAGTAGGTTTATATCATTTCAAAGGGATAAAACTGTTAGCTGTAAGGGAGCCCTTTACCCTTATTTGAATGAGAAAAATTTTTATAAGTTGTGAATTTCACAATACCAAATTTTTAGTTTTATAGTAAAATAAATTGTAGACGCTGATTTACAACACATGGGTGAGAACATAGCAATGGTCTTCTCCCAACAATGGCCATATACCACATTACAACTGCTAGTCTTACCAACACAACTCTGGGTTTAAGCATCATTGGAAGAGCCTTTGTTGATGTTTGTAGAGAAGACTATAATGAGCTAGTTTTGCTTATCTGGGCCAAACTAGTGGATATTAGAGAGGCTTTTGTTTCGTGTCAGTATTATGGCAAATCACTGATTGCTTTTGTTGAATTGAAAAGGTAATGGGAAGACTCTGAAGGGGTACATTCAAAGAAGGTACATTTAAATAACGCTTTTAAAACTTTATTTAATCATACTTGCACTCTTTTTCCTTGGATTTGTCATTCCAACAAATATAACACATGCTAAATGTTCTTTTGTGCCAGAGCTTTGTGCCTTCATTTGAAGAGATGGTCATGTGTCCTGAGAGAGGAATTCTGAAGAGGATATAAAAAAATCTTCAGCCACTTAGGAGGAGGTCAATATTTTACTAAGAAGCCATAAGCGAAATACAGTTACTGAGCATTAAATTTAACTAATTCAAAGAACCTTTTACCAATTTGACCCTGCCTGTTGAAAATGTACAATGGTTTTTTGCCTTTAATCTTGGAAATACATCATTGCTCTTACTCAAGGAAAGGCTTCTGTACATTTAGGTATTAACTGATCACCGTTTTAGTTTTCATTGAGGTTTGCCTAGCTTGAGTCCTACTACATGATGTATGCCCTATCGGGAATATTACCAGGTCACTTGGAGAAACTAAATTTTCAGTTTAGACTTTTAGCTCTCTGCCATTTGAGTGCCTTGAAAGGGGAAAAAAATCCTACCTTTAGAAAAGAAGTGCTTCCATGCATTTGGGATTCTAAGGGTCAGTGGCTTAAAGGAGTATAAATGTCTTTGGGACACCTGTGTTAAATATGAAATAATTAGAGCTACACAAGAACAAAAGCTAGTTTACATAGTACGAAGTAGCAGGATCCATGACTACTTTGGCCGTGAGGTTTGAGGTGGTCATATAAAAATAGGCATAATAGAGACTTTTGAAGTTCTCTTATGATAACATAGTTGCATGCGCAATTTGACGGAAGTTGAGCGTGAAGAGTAATTATAGTCCCACGTATGTAACACCCATTAATGCAACCATGGTTAGACTCGTTCCAGACAGTGCGAGAGTGGATCTCGGAACCTTTCTGTTGGGGATCTTTTGCGGGAGGGACCGGAAAGGAGGTGGATCCGTTCAAGATGTGGCGAGGCCGCAAGCTGAGCTCCTCCGGGAATCGGTTTTTAGGAGTGCTTAGATCTAGTTGTTGGGGTACACAGGCTGAGGGTGCTCGCTTAACCAGGTCGGCAGGTGAGTGTCGCTTAACCGGGTCGGCATGGTGAAGGTCCCTCACAAACCCACCGTGCGGGCCGCTGTTCTGCGCAGGCGCGGGAGAGGGCGGCGGGCTGTCGCTGAGCTCCGCGCAGGGTCAGCGCAAGACTTGACTACTTTCGGTCCGGTCCCTCGCTGTCGGCTGAACCCCCGGCCTGGGCTCTCGCCTTCCCCTTCCCGGAGACTGGGAAGAATAACAGGACTACTGGTCCTGGCCGAGGAGGGCACAGCCTCCCGGCCGCCGCCATGTATCCAGCGACCTGTGCCCTTTTTTGGTTGAGCCCTTGGCTCGGGAGCCGGCGACCACTCCATGCCTGCTGGAGTCTCAAGGTCATGTGCTTTCTTCCTTTGCAGCAGCGAGAAAAGACACCAGCTGCTGTCTCATAGTTCTTGATAGCGTTGTATTTGTGTTTTGTTTGCACGTATCTTGCCTTTTTTCAGAAAGAATTTAAGGCAGCCATACTGCTTTTTTTCTGGTTAATTCAACAAACCCTATTGGCAAATAAGATCAAGAAAATAACGCACTGAACCTGATGCTTGTAGAAGACAGTTTGATTATTTAACTTTCAATAGTAACCAGAAAGTTAAGTTTACCCTTTATATGAAACTCATTTAACAAATACTCTGTGCCAGGCACTGGGAGTTTGTTTGCTTTTAAGATTTATTTATTTTTAGAGAATAAGAGCCAGCCTCTAAGGGCGGGGGCGCAGAGGGAGAGAGAAACTCAAGCGGACTCCCCTCTGAGTCCGTGATGGGTAGAGCGTGATCCCTAGATCTGGAGATCATGACCGGAGTCTAAACCAAGAGTTGGACACCCAACCAGCTGAGCCACCCAGGCGTGGCAGGCACTGGGAATTTTTAAATGAACGATACCTCAGAGGTCTCTTCAAAAAATGTTAGAACTGAAATTAGGATCTAATGGGTCAAATGGGGAATTTATAGGCCCATGAATAGAGTTGGTAAGTTGGTGCTCTAATACAATGAAAAATAGTGCAGCCAATAAAAATGATTTAAATCAATGTGTGTCTACATGGAAAAATGATTCGGATATAGCGTTAAGAAAGTTACAAATCAGTATTATGATCTTAGATATATAAATGGAGCTATATGGAGAGAATAGAGATACATCGAAATTTTAGCAGTGATTATATGCGGTGGAGGTGGTTATCCATCATTTTATCATTATATATTTTCAGAATTTATTTTTTCAGCAAACATGTCTTTTATAATCAGAAATTTAGAAAAAAATATAAATATTTTCAGATTTGGGGACTGAGTATAGAAGGAGCATCTAATACATATCTGGGATCAGGGAAAGTTTTTGAACAAGGTATTTAGGAAGCTGTCTTGAGGGAGTTGGGCAATTTTGGAAGTTGTTGGAGTGGCCAAAGGACTAACTTGAGTATCTGTGAGATTTCTGGGAAAGTGCAAAGTGTTCCTTGAAAAGGAAGGCTGGAGGTGAGGGCAGAGACTGGCAAGGGATGAGAGAGACTTTTTAGGCCATGACAAGTCTATGAAAGGGTACGTATACCTCCTGAGATTGACTTTACCTTGAGGACAGTGGGAAATTACTGAATGAGCAATAAATATAATCAGACTTCTATTTAAGAAAGAACACTTGGCAACTGTGTAGAAAGTGGGATGGTGGCAGGCAAGACTAGGCTCAGGGAGACCTTAAGAGTAATCCAGACAATAAATGATGATTGCTGGAACTAAGGTATTGGCAGAGTAGAGGTTTTGTTCACTGTCGGCATGGCACATTATAGGCTCTGAATAAATGATGTTTTGAATGAATTAAATGAAGTTTTCCTCCATTTCTTAAAAATCTCAAATACCAAAATGATCACACATTCAAAGTAGAGAAGGAATCGGCAACATTCTATTTATTAATACAAACTCCGTTTCTGTCAGTTGTGGTGTGGTGGTTGTTAAAGCTCTTGAGAATTCTGGCAATACTGATAACTGAGAGGCTAATTTTACAGAAATAGGGGAGGAGAAGGGAAGGTAGGGGTCATCACTGAGTACAGAGCAGGGACTGTGTTAAAATCTCTGATGTGCAGTTTCATAATAGTAACAACATATATTTTTATCTATGTATCACAGTTTACATAATTCTCTATAATAACATTTCATTTATCTGCCTAAAGTCATAAAGAAGGTAGTATTTGAACTAGGTCTTAGAGGTAGTATAGATAGAAATGGTGGAAGAGAGAGTAACATGAGCAAAGGCCTAGAAGCACAAACTGTTTTTTTGTATGTGTGATAATGTTGAAATGGCCTTGGGCCAGACTGTGAAGATCCTACTAAAAAACAAAACAAAATTTAAAAAACAAAAAGCTTAAGAGAAAAATATTCAGACTGTGAAAAGACAAGTCATGAAATATAAATGACCATTTGTCTTAGTCCATTTGAAGACTATAACAAAATACCACAGACTGGTGGTTTATAAACAACAGAAATTTATTTCTCATAGTTCTGGAGACTGGGAAGTCCAAGATTCGGTGTCTGGTAAAAGCCCATTTCCTGGTTTATCGATGGAGCCTTCTTGCTGTATCCTCACGTGGTAGAAGAAGCAAACTTGCTCTCTGGGTTCTTTTATAAAGACACTAAACCAATCATGAGGGCTCTGCCCTCATGACCTCATCACCTCCCAAAGGCCCTACCTTCTAATATCATCACTTTAGGGGTTAGGATTTCAACGAATAAATTTGGGGAGGACACAGACATTCAGACCATAGCACCATTAAGTTAAGAAAGGATACTTAGCCTCATTTATGATAAACTCAGATAACACTGAGATACCATGTTCACCTATTGGGTTATCAAAGATAAAAAATTTTGATAATACATTGCATGAGTGACTATCAATGTATTATTGGTGTGGGTAAGCCAACACTAGAAACTGGTTTTACCCATGGGGTTGGGAACTGGTTCAACATCTATGAGTGGCAATTACAAATTTATAAATGCACATGCCATTTAACAGTAATTCTTGGGATTTCACCTACAAGTACTCTCTAAAATATATGAAATTACCTATGGAATTCAATCTTATGTTTTTGGAATAGCAAAAACTTGTGAATAACCTAAATAAATGTCCATTAATAGGAGACTGCTTAAATAAACTATGAGAGAGCCATATAATGAATTACTATGCAGCTCTAAAAAGAAAGAAAGGAAGTTCTTTATGCTTGGTTATGCAGAAATCTCTACAATACCTTGATAGGTAGAAAAAGCAAGGTAGGAGGGGTACTTTGTAGTATAACCTTTTGTGTTTTTTAATTTTTAAAAATTAATTTTTTATTTTGAAATAATTTAAGACTTATGAGAAGTTGCAAAAACAGTACAGAAATTTCCATGTGCCTTTCATCCTATTCTTCAGTGATATCTTACCTAACCATAATACATTGTAAAAGTCAGAAAATTGACATTAGTATGATACTATTACTAAACCTCAGACCTTATTTGGATTTTACCACCTTTCCATGCACTCATTTGTGTGTGTGTGTGTGTATTGTGTGTGTGTGTGCATGCACATGCGTGTTACCACATATATAGATTTGTGTAATAACTACTACAATCAGGATGTGGAACTGTTCATAATCACAAAGAAATTTCCTGGTACTACTCCTCTGTAGTCAGACCCTACCCTGACCTTAACCCTTGGTAATCATTGATTTGTTCTCCGTTACTATAATTTTACCATTGCAAGAATGTTATATAAATGGAATCGTACAGTATGTACCTCTCAAAATTGTCCCCCCCAGCATAAATACCCTTGAAATCTATCCAAGTTCTTGTATCAAAGGTCATTCCTTTTGATTTCTGATTAGTATATTTCACAGTTTGTTTAAGCCATTCACCTATTTGGGGATATTTTGGTATTTCTGGTTTTGGGCTATTACGAATAAAGCTACTATTGACATTTATGTACAGGTTTTTTGTGGACGTAAGTTTTCACTTCTCCAGGATAAGTGTCCAAGAATGCAATTGTTTTGTATGATGTGTATGTTTAACTTTTATAGAAACTGCTAAACCACTTCCCATAGTGTCTGTATCACTTTACATTTCCACTAGCAATGTATAGGAGATCTAGTTGCTTTCATATCCCAGTGCACCCTTGGTTGTACCAGGATGATTATATTTTAGCCAACTTGATAGGTATGTAGAGGCTTTCATTTGCATTCCCCTAATGGTTGTTGATATTTCACATCTCTTCATGTGTATATCCTCTTTGATGAATTGTCTGTTCATGTCTTTCTATACCCATTTTATTATAACCAGACCCATTGTATAATTGGGTTGCTTGGTTTGTTGTTGTTTGTTTTATGGGAGTTGGGTTTTACTGTTGAGTTTAAAGAATATCCTCATATACTCCAGATATAAGTCCTTTGTGGGGTATGTGTTTTGTAAATATTTCCTCCCTGTCTGTGATTTGTCTTTTCTTTTTCTTAACAGGGTCTTTTGCAGGGCAAAAGTTTTCAATTCTAAGTCCAATTTAATCAATATTTTCTATTTTGGATTATGCTTTTGGTGTCAGATGTAAGAAGAACTCTGTGCCTAACCCTAAATCATGAAGATCTGTGATAGTTTCTTCTAAAAGTATTAATGGTTTTGCATTTAGATCAATGATCTATTCTAAGTTTATTTTTATATAAGGTTTGAGATTTAGGTTTAAGTTTTCTTTTTTGGTCTATGGTATCCAATTGTTTCAACACCATTTATTGAAAAGACTATTTCTCCTTCACTGAACTGCTTTTCACCAGTGTCAAAAAATCAGTTGGGTGAACTTTACAATGTCCCTAGTAATTTTCTTTGCTCTAGGTCTACTTTGTCTAAATATTTATTGAACAATTGAATGTTCTGCAGTAGAGTAACTAGTTCATAAAGCAAGTCTCTATGTAAGTTTGACCATATAGACTGGATGAGTGATTCTGGATGATATGTATACACACACATATACATACAGATTTTTCTTTTGGAAAGGGTTTTGAGCCTATGTATAAATCCATTTCATGTAGCTAACATGTGACAGAATTTGAACTAGTTTTGACAAAGTAATCTCAGAATTAATATTATCTTAGTTTAAAAGGGCACATAGTTTTATTTTAAATATCATTTTTTATAATTATGCGGCATAATATTGGTGCAGAAACTAATGGTGTGAAAAACTTTTACATATACGTTACTTATTTTTGCCAATTAAAATTTCAGAAATTTCTGATTAGAGTTAAATGGCAGAATGCAAGATCTTTATTTTATTTTTATTTTTTAAAGATTTTATTTATTTATTTGACAGAGAGAGACACAGCAAGAGAGAGAACACAAGCAGGGGGAGCAGGAGAGGGAGAAGCAGGCTTCCCACTGAGCAGGGAACCTGATGCGGGGCTCAATCCCAGGACCCCAGGATCATGACCTGAGCCAAAGGCAGACGCTTAATGACTGAGCCACCCAGGCGCCCCTAGATCTTTATTTTATGTTTTAGAATAAAATCCAGAAGTAAGGGGAAAACCCTTTTGTTTATCAATTGTAATAAGAGATTGCCATGTAAAATAGTTTCTTCAATTACATGCATATTAGGGATTTATAGTGTGCAGAGCTTTCTCTAGACATTTAATTTTTATTTTCAGAGGCGCCTGGCTGGCTCAGTTGGTTAGAGCATGTGACTTTTGATCTTGGGGTCGTGAATTTGAGCCCCACGTTGGGCATGGAGATTACTTAATAATTTTGTTTTCAATTTATTCAGAGAATCAGTTCAGTTGGACTCCACAAAGTAAACCATGGGTTTTCAGTGACTACAAAATCATGTGGTTCAAATCCTACAGAATGACTTTTGCCTGCTTGAATAGAATGAAAATTTACAGGTAAGTTTATTCATTACTGTGGCAAATATTTACATAATTATGTACAGTAGTAGTTTGGTATTGATTATGTTTAATAAACACTGCTAGTATGAAATAGCTTATGTGGTTTGATTAAGGTATCTTTTATTTATCTAAATATTCTTTTTCTTCTAACAACTTTTACATCCGGAAAGTTTCAAACCTACAGAAAAGTTGTAATACAGTATACATGTAGTGCATACCCTTCATCTATATTCAAAGGTAGCTTTTATTTTTAAGGTAGGACTGTATTACCTGGAGAAATACTTTTTACTTCCTCACTTGTGACAAAACACAACTAATACAGTGCTTAAAATCATAAATGATTTGGGTACAACATAAATATGGTAAGGTAGATAGCTATACAATTCTAGGTGGTAAGATTGAATCAAAGTAATATCTTTCTGTAGTTGTATTTTATAAACCAATTTCTAACCTTGTGAAAAATACTGCATAGAGTTAAGGTATGAACTCTGTTTTCCAAGTGCATGCTCTACTTCTTGTAAATAAGCTAGCTCCTTTAAAATTAGGTGTATGTGAAATCATTGGTAGTCAACTGAGCAACCACCTACTGTTACCTGTTGTATGTTAGTCATTGATTATTGAGGCTTTGTATGAAGCACAGAAAAAGATGGTAATATTCATAAGGTAATATTAAAGAAGCATGATATTTAACTCTTAAAAGGATAATAAGTCATCAATGTAGAATGTACTCTATGTAGCTAAGAAAAACACAGTAAAAATTTGAATAGTATTACCTATTCTAATGTAACAACCTTATTCTTTTTTATCCAAGAACTTCTGGAGGATTTTCCTATCATATACTTTGACATGGAATTTGGTATAGTGTCTGATTTGTTTGGTCCCTGTTTGATCCCATTTGATTTTTAAAAAAAAATTAGGTGAATTATATACTTTTCTGGGCCTTCTTTATTAGACTATTTATTTGACATATGTTTCCCAAGTCCCAACTGTGTTCTAGGAACTGTGCTAGTCACTAGGAATAAAATGGTAAATGAGACAGTCCATACCTTGCCTTCATGATGTTTAGTGGGGAGACATGATCAAATTGTCACATAGCTCCCTGAAGAAATACAAAGTTATATGGGAGTTAAAATAGGGGAATATAACCCAGATTTGAGAGTCAGGAAAGACTTCTTAGATGGCATTCCATTTAAACTAAGATCTGAAGGAATTAATTAGGTATGCAGAGGAGGCAAGGGAATGTGAGAAGAATGGTCCAGGTAGAGGGAACAACCTGTACACAGTATCTGAGAAAGGGGCATGTGGGGTCAGTGCAAGGAAATGAAGGAAGGCCCGTGGGCCTGGAATGGGGAGGCTGAGGAGAGTAGTAGAGAGTGCATTTGGGAAAGGAAGAAATTGGGGACCAAATAATTCAGAGCATTGTAGGCCATTCTAAGGATTTTGAGTTGTTTTCCTAATATCACTGGGAAACCATGGAAGTATTTAAGTGGGAAAATGGCACAATCATATTTATATTTTGGAACACTCTGGATGCATTGTAGGGAACAGATTGAAGGGAGATGCGGTAGGAAGCAGGCGGACTAATTAGAAGGCTAGGGCAATAAATAGTTCAACCAAGAGATGATGGTAGCTTAGACTAGGATGATAGTAGTAGAAATGAAGAGAAGATGGGGCACTTGGGTTCAAATCCTGGCTGTACCATTTACTTAATCTCTCTAAGCCTCACTTTTCTTACCTGTGTAATAGGGATTATGATATGACCTACCTTACAGAGTTGCCAGAATAATTAAATAAGATGACATATGTCGTATATATAGTTCTTAAATAGTACCCACATTTAGTAAGTGCACAATAAATGGTTACTATTACTATTTCTACCTCTACTACTACTATTCCTATTATTATGTTATTATCATCATTACTATTAGATATGACCCAGAAGACCAAGTCTTGTAACTTTCCATTTCTGTTGTAATTTACTTTGAAAACAAATCAACTCTCTTCCATCTATGAATATATATATTTGCAGTGTGATTATGAGAAAACCTGGTTTTAAAGCATCAAAAATGAGCCATACATGTATTTAGAATCTAAGAAATTGTAAACTAGGATATCTTTCTGCATGAATAGATCCTACGTTATATTTTTTTAAATGTCTGTGTTTGCCTGGCTCTTCATTTTGACCTTGTAGATACCCTTGGACAAGACTGTACAGTTCTCAAAGCACTGTAGACAGCAGTGAGATAAAAACATTCCTGGCCCTGGCTCACAGGTGGTGGGATGAACAAGGAGTATATGCACTTCTTCATTCGATGAATGACCTGAGGGTGCCATTTATTAGGTAACATTCCAGAAACTCTAAGTCTTTTAAAATGCAACTCTTTTCAATAATTTATCTTCTTTTAAGTTTATTTTTCTCTTGGTTTATACCTAAGTTCAAAATGCTACATTTTAAGTTTGCTTTAGAAATTAGAGAGATTCTGGGGCAGCTGGCTGGCTCAGTCGGTAGAGCATGTGACTCTTAATCTCAGGGTCATGAGTTCAAGCCCCACATTGGGTGTGAAGTGTCCGTAAAAAAAAAAAAAAAAAGAAATTAGATCCTTTTCAATGTCCATTGTTTGAGCCAGCAATTTTTAAATAACATTACCCAAAATCTAGGCTGCTTTTATTAACTAACTTGAAGCATTTTTGGACAATTTTGGGTTAATTAGAATTAAATCTTTATGAGAAGGAACTAGGATACTATGGCATCGAGGTCATTTTATACTGACTTTGACCTTTAGGCAGTCTTGATAAAGGGGCACCTGGATGGTTCAGTCACCAGAGCATCTAGCTCTTAATCTCAGGGTCATAAGTTCAAGCCCCACATTGGGCGTGGAGCCTACTTAAAAAAAAAAAAAAAAGATATCCTAAGGTACCCTTATTATATATAACATTTTATTTATTTATTTTTTAAGATTTTATTTATTTATTTGAGAGAGAGATTGAGCATGAGCAAGGGGGAGGGGAAGAGGGAGAAGCAGGCTCCCTGATGCAGGGCTCAATTCTAGGACCCTGGGATCATGACCTGAGCTGAGGCAGATGCTTAACTGACTGAGCCACCCAAGTGCCCCAATATAACATTTATTTTAATATAAATATAATTCAAATTCATATATAGTCCAATTTAAAAGTATAGTTTACAATACTGTTAGGTCTATATATCTGGGTGTATATGTGTGTACTTGTGTTTGTTTATGTGGTAAAGTGTTACTATGATTATCTTAGAATTAAGTTAACTTGATTTGGATGCCTATTTACATGATCATGAAAACACCACTAACTTAGAAGATCAAGAGAATCCATTTAGAAGGGAACCTAGGCAAAATCTCAAAATATAGATCTCCAGGGCGCCTGGGTGGCTCAGTTGGTTAAGCAACTGCCTTCGGCTCAGGTCATGATCCTGGAGTCCCGGGATCGAGTCCCGCATCGGGCTCCCTGCTCGGCGGGGAGTCTGCTTTGCCCTCCGACCCTATCCCCTCTCATGTGTTCTCTCTCATTCTCTCTCTCTCAAATAAATAAATAAAATCTTTAAAAAACAAAAACAAAAACAAAACAAAACAAAACAAAAATATAGATCTCCAGTATGCTGCTTCTAAGCCCTGTAAAATAACCTATTTGTTGCTGACTTGAAATGGGTCTAGCAAGTACTGACAATGTAGCTAATAGATTCCTCCTTTGACATGCTATCTCAAGCAAATAAAATTAGGTGAATCTAAACTAGATTGTTTTTAAAGTTTTTCTTTAGATTATTAGTGAAGTAATAGTTAACGCAAAATTATTACTAGTTTATTTCAAGAGCTTTACTTGAAACCTCCTTCCTGCTTTTGATTATTAAAAAAAGTCTTTAATGCTGAAAATAAAAGGTCTGTTTACCCCCAAATATCAATAATCCATTTAAAATAAGAGTTTAATATATCCTTGAAAATTGTACACGTTTAAGATTTTACTGACAAAATTAACAATTTGTTTTTTTCTATGTTTTGGATTTTTAAAAAAAGAGACAATCTTTTAAAAACAGTTGCTCAGCACCAGCCAGGAAAACCTTTGTCTGGGATCAAGATTCTTGATGTTGGCTGTGGTGGTGGATTATTAACTGAAGTAAGTGGTTTACAAATTTCCTGCCATTTTTAACTGGGAAAAAAATTGAGAAAAAGTAGGCCTGTGATTCATTTATCCTTTTAACAAGTAGTATTGTTTATTTAAAAAAATGAATAATATTCTTAATATTTTTACCATCACAAAACTAATATATGCTTTTCACTTTCTTAAAAAATATATAAAAATTTCAGAAAATTATAGAGAGGATTTTTGCGGTGTTTTTTGTTTTTTTGTTTGTTTTGCACAAAATTGGACACTGGCCTTCCAAATAGCTCTGAAAATTTTGTTGTCTCTTCTAAGAGATTGGGCAATTTCCACTGGTTTAAATTGCAATGATAAGCCATTCTTTTGCACTTGCTTCAATATCAAAACCTAACAGAGTACTGCCTGCTCAGGGTGCCCTCCCCTTCTTAGGTGCTTTAGAGTGCTTGGAAGAATACTCATTCACCTTCTGTAAAAAATATTTGCCTCAACTTGTAGTATATTTATGCCCTGCAGCTCTATTTTGTAGTCTTCTATCAACACAATAACTTTCGTGCACTTTAAATATGTTAATACTCTATTATGTGTGTGTAAATGTACCTATAAAATACAGAACTCCCCTCTCAAACAGTTCTTCATAAGTTTTTTATTGTTATGATTATTGTTCCCTCTTAAGCTTTTTATTATGGTAATTGTCAAATGTGTACAAACTAGAGAAAATGATATAATGAACTTCCATGTACCCATAAATGATCTCCAATAATTATCCTCTCATGAGTAATCTTGTTTCCTTTTTGATAAGCTCTTTATGGCTAACATGTATTCTGTTTTCTTCTTGAGGATAACAGTTTTTTTATCCTATTAGCCTCTAGGGCGGCTCGGAGCTTCGGTTATTGGAATCGATCCTGTGGCTGAGAACATTAAGACAGCACAGCACCATAAATCATTTGATCCAGTCCTAGATAAGAGGATAGAGTACAGAGCATGTTCCCTGGAAGAGATTGTGGAAGAGACGGCAGAAGCATTTGATGCTGTTGTAGCTTCTGAAGTTGTAGAACATGTGATTGATCTAGAAACATTTATACAGTGCTGCTGTCAAGCGTTAAAAGTAAGACCTAACCGGTTTACTTGTCTGTTTTTTCTTTTGAGTGTGTGTAGGTATCCATAGCAATAAGTGTTTCATAATACTTGAAACCAGGAAGCTAGGATTAGGGGATAGCATCTCTGCTGGGGATTATTTCTGCTGCTCAGCTTGCACTCAGTACTAGGGTTTTTCAGATACAGTATCTTGATATCCAAGAATCTTGAAAAGTGTTGGTGCTGAACACAAATTACAAACAATAGATTCAAATTGGTTTTTTTCTCTTTGGTATACTCTGGATTAAATACCTAATAGATATTGAGTGGCAATCACTAAGAAATTGATTTGGATTGATACTTAAAAAACAATAAAAACCATTATTGATTTGTATAAACTGACTTAGGTAGCATTTTTTAAGTAACTTTGTATGTGATATATATAACAGTTTTCAGCTTATAAAGAAATATTTCATATATATGATCTCACTGATTTTCCCTACAACCAGATGAGGAAGTTAAGCAGGTACTGTTGTGACCAACTTGGACCAAAGGAGATCAGAATTTGAGAGAGGTCAGAGGTCACTTGGCCTTTTTGTTTTTTGGTGTTTTATGGTTTATGGTGTTAATGGTCTCATTATAGTTTTGATTTACATTTCTCTGATGATGAGCATTTTTTCATGTGTCTGGTGGTCATCTGTATGTTTTCTTCGGAAAATGTCTACCAGGTCCTCTGTCCATTTTTTAATCAGGTTGTCATTGTTGTTGTTTTTGGTATTGGTGAGTTGTAGGAGTTCTTCATATATATTTTGCAGATTAACTCCTTACAGATTTTTTTCCCATTTAGCATGTTGTCTTTTGGTTTTGTTGATGGTTTCCTTTGCTGTGCAAAAGGTTTTTGGTTTGATGTAGTCACAGTTGTTTATTTTTGCTTTCATTTCTCTTGTCTGAGGAAACAGATCCAGAGAAATACTGCTAAGGTTGATGCCCAAGGGATTGCTGCCTATGTTTTCTTTTAGGATTTTTATGGTTTCAGGTCTTAGATTTAGGTCTTTAATCCCTTTTGAGTTTATTTTTATGTATGGTGTAAAAAAGTGGTCCAGTTTCATTCTTTTACATGTAGCTGTCTAGTTTTCCCAACACCATTTTCCATTGTATATTCTTGCCTCCTTTGTTGTAGATTAATTGACCATGTAAGTGTGGGTTTATTTTTGGGTTCTCCATTCTGTTCTATTGATCTGTTTTTGTGCCAGTACATACTGTTTTAATTACTATAGTTTGTAGTACAGTTTGAAATCTTGGATTGTGATACTTCCAAATTGGTTCTTTTTCAATATTTGGGGTCTTTTGGGGTTCCATACAAATTTTAGAATTATTTCTTCTAGTTCTGTAACAAATACTATTGCAATTTGATAGAGATTGCATTGACTCTGTAGGTTGCTTTGGGTAGTGTAGACATTTTAACAATATTCTTCCCATCCATAAGCAAGGTGTATCTTTTCATTTATTTGTGTCGTCTTCGATTTCTTTCATCAGTGTCTTGTAGTTTTCAGAGTTTAGGTCTTTCACCTCCTTGGTTAATTTTATTCCTAGGTATTTAATTCTTCTTGTTATGATTGTAAATGGCAGTTTTCTTAATTTCTCTTTCTGCTAGTTCATTATTAGTATATAGAAATGCAACAGATTTCTGGATATTAATTTTGTATCCTGCACCTTTACTGACTTTATTTTGTTCCTGATCTTAGAGGAAAAGCTTTCAGCTTTTCACCATTGAGTATGATGTTAGCTGTGTGGGTTTTCATATATGGCCTTTATCCTGTTGAGGTATGCTCCCTCTATACCCACTTTGTTGAGAGTTTTTATCATGAACAGATGTTGAATTTTGTCAAATGCTTTTCCTGCATCTATTGAGATGGTCATATGATTTTCATCCTTCATTTCATTAATGTCTTGTATCACGTTTGTTCATTTGCAGATACTGAACTTTTCTTGCATCCCTGAAATAAATGCCACTTGATCCTGGTGAATGATCCTTTTAAAGTATTGTTGAATTTAGTTATTGGGATATTGGTCTGTAATTTTCTTCTCTTGCAGTGTTTTTGTCTGGTTTTGGTATCAAGGTAATGCTGCCCTTTGTCAAGGAATTTGGAAGCATTTATTACTCTTCTACTTTTAGAATAGGTTGAACAGGATAGGTTTTAACTTTTTAAATATTTGGTAGAATTCCCTTTGAAGCCATCTGATCCAGGACTTTCGTTTGTTGGGAGTTTTTTGATTACTGATTCAATTGTTACTAGTAATTGGTAACGTTCAGATTTTCTATTCCTGATTCGATCTTAGAAGATTGTGTGTTTTGGGGTATTTATCCATTTCTACTAGGTTGTCCAATTTGTTGGCATTTAATTTTTCATAGTGGTCTCTTACAATCCTTTGCATTTCTGTAGTGCTGGTTATAACTTTTCCTCTTTCATTTATTTGGGCCCTCTCTTTTTTCTTGATGAGTCTGGGTAAAGGTTTATCAATTTTGTTTGTCTTTTCAAAGAACCAGCTGTAAGTTTCATTGATCTTTTCTATTGTTTTTTAGTCTCAATTTATTTCTGGTCTGATCTTTATTATTTTCTTCCTTCTACTAACTTTGGGCTTTGTTTATTCTTTTCCTGTTTCCTTCAGGTATACAGTTAGGTTGTCTTATTGGAAATTTTTTTTGTTTCTTTGAAGTAAGCCACTGTCATAAACTTATCTCTTAGAACTGCTTTTGCTGCATCCCAAAGATTTTGAACCATTGTGTTTCCATTTTCATATGTCTCCAGGTATTTTTTAATTTGCTCTGATTTCTTTGTTGACCCATTGGTTGTTTAGCTGCATGTTGTTTAGCCTCCATGTGTTTGTATTTTTTCCAGTTTTTTTTTTTCTTGTAATTGATTTTTAGTTTCATTCTGTTGTGGTCAGAAAAGATGTTTGGTATGATTTCAATATTCTTAAATTTATTGGTTCTTGGGGCACCTGGGGGGCTTAGTTGGTTAAGTGTCTGCCTTCGGCTAAGGTCGTGATCCCGGGGTCCTGTGATCAAGCCCCGTGTGGGGCTCCCTGCTCAGCAGGGAGTCTACTTCTCCCCTGCCCTCTGCCCCTTCCTCTGCCCTGCTTGTGCACTCGTGCGCACGCTCTCTCTCTCAAATGAATAAATAGAATCTTAAAAAAAATTATTGATTCTTGTTTTGTGGGCATAACGAGATCCATCCTGAAGAATGTTCCATGTGCACTTGAAAAGAATGTGTATTCTGCTGTTTTTATATAAATGTTCTGTATCTCCCTGTTAAGTCTATTTGGTCTAATGTGTCAATCAAAGCAACTGTTTCCTTATTGATTTTCTGTCTGGATGATCTATCTATTGATAGATAGATAAGTGGGATGGGTGTTAAAGTCCCCTACTATTATTGTATTACTGGCAATTTCTCCATTTATGTTTGTTAATATTTGCTTTATGTGTTTAGGTGCTTTCATGTTCATTGCATGTAAATTTACAATTGTTATATTTTCTTGTTGGGTTGATTCCTTTATCATTATTAATATCCTTCTTTGTCTCTTGTTATAGGCTGTTCTGAAGTCTTTTATTTAAAGCTTTTTTTTCTTTGTTTCCATTTGCATGGACTATCTTTTTCTACCCCTTCACTTTCAGCCTGTATGCATCTTTAGGTCTGAAGCCAGTCTCTTATAGGCAGCATATATAGCTGTGTTTTTTGTTTTTTTTTTAATCCATTCAGTCACTCTGTGTCTTTTGATTGGAACATTTAGTTCATTTACATTTGAAGTAATTACTAATAGGTATAGAATTTTGTTAATTGTTTTCTGGTTGTCTTTGTAGTTCTCTGTTCTTTTCTTCTTCTCTTTCTCTCTTTCCTTGTGATTGATGACTTTCTTTAGTGTTATGCTTGGATTCCTTTCTCTTTATTTTTTGTGTGTCTATTATAGGTTTTTGGTTTGTGGTTACCATGAGGTTCACATATAATATCCTACTTGTATAGCCCTCTATTTTAAGTTGATGGTCACTTAAGTTCAAGCACATTGTAAAAGCACTATATTTTTACTACCCCCTCTACGTTTTTATGTATTTGACACCATATTTTACATATTTTTATTTTTTGTATCTCTTAACTCATTTTTGTGGATATAATTGATTTTAGTACTTTTGTCTTTTAACTTTCTTTTTTTTTTTTTTTAAAAGATTTTTATTTATTTATTTGACAGAGAGAGACACAGCGAGAGAGGGAACACAAGCAGGGGGTGTGGGAGAGGGAGAAGCAGGCTTCCCGCTGAGCAGGGAGCCCGATGCGGGGCTCGATCCCAGGACCCTGAGATCATGACCTGAGCCGAAGGCAGACACTTAACGACTGAGCCACCCAGGCGCCCCGTCTTTTAACTTTCATACTAGCTTTTATAAATGTTTGATCTTCTACCTCTACTGTATGTTTTCTTTTACCAGTGAAATTTTTTTTTCCTTTTATAATTTTCTTACTTTCAGTTATGGCCTTTTCTTTTCTGCTTAAAGAAGTCCCCTTAACATTTCTTGTAGGGCTAGTTTGGTGATGATGAACTTTTAATTTTTGTTTGTCTGGGAAACTCTTTATCTGTCCTTCAATTCTGAATGTTAACCTTTCCAGGTAGAGTATTCTTGGTTGTAGGTTTATTCTTTTCAGCTCTTTGAATATATCATGCCACTCCTATCTGGCCTGCAAAGTTTCTGTTGAAAATTAGTTGATAGCCTTATGGGGTTTCCCTTGCATGTAACTATTTGCTTTTCTTTTGATGCTTTTAAGATTTTCTATCCTTAATTTTTTACTTTTTATTGTGTATCTTGGTGTGGATTTCCTTGGATTTATCTTGTTTGGGGCCGCCTGTGCCTCCTGAACCCAGATGTTTGCTTCCTTCCTTAGGTTAGAGAAGTTTTCAGCTATTATTTTTTCCAATAAATTTTCTGCCCTTCTCTCCTTCCTCTCCTTCTGAGATCTAATGCAAATGCTAGTAGACTTGAGGTTGTCCCAGAGGTCCCTTAACCTATCTTCAGTTTTTTATTCTCTCTTTCCTTTTCTTTTCTTTTTCTTTCTTTTTTTCTTTCTTTCTTTCTTTCTTTCTTTCTTTCTTTCTTTCTTTCTTTCTTTCTTTCTTTCTTTCTTTCTTGCTTTCTTGCTTGCTTGCTTGCTTGCTTGCTTGCTTTCTTGCTTTTTCTTTCTTTCTTTCTTTTTTTTTGCTATTCAACTTAGGTGCTTTCTACTACCCTGTCTTCCAGATTGCTGACCTATTCTTCTGCATCTTCTAATCTGCTGTTGATTTCCTTGTGTATTTTTCATTTCAGTTATTGTATTCTTCATCTCTGATGGGTTCTTTTTTATGTTTTCTATCTCTTTCTTGATTTGAACTCTGAGTTCATCCACTCTTCTCAAATCTGGTGAGCATCTTTAGTACCATTACTTTGAGCTCCTTATCAGGTAGATTGCTTATCTCCATTTTGTTTAGTTTTTTTATTTGTTTGTTTGTTTTTGCTAAAGTTTTAGCTTGTTCTTTCATTTGAAACATATTCCTCTATCTCCTCATATTCTGTGTTTGTTTCCATGTATTAGGTATGTCAGCTATGTACCCTGGTCTTGAAAGTAGTGGCCTTGTGTTAGAAGGCATCATGTGGGGCCCTAGAGTGCCATCCTCCCAGTCACCAGAACCAGACATTCTGGGCTCTGTGTGTCCACCTGTGGTGACTGGGCTGTAACTTTGTGCAAGCAGTGGTAGGCAGGGCTGAGCCTCAGCCCAGCTATGCACAGTGACCAGCTGTGACTTCTGTGAGTATACTGGTATACAGGGTGGCTTCCCAGCCATGCTGTCAGAGTGGCTCAGCTGTAATTGCTGCCCACATGCTGGTGTGTGGGGCTGCCCATCCTTCCCGCAGGGAAGGAGTTGCTTTGGAGAGGCCCTGGTCCTGCCTGGGGCTGCCACTAGGTGTGGTGGGGCAGTCATTGCTTTGGGGGAATGCTGATCCTCACCAAGGCTGCCTGCTGGGTGTGGCAGGGCGGGGGTTAATTTAGAGGGGCACTTTCCAGGGCAGGTAGATCCACAGGGGAATGCCAGGGCAGGGTGAAGGAGACACTCAGGCTTAGGTGCCAACCCTGCATTTGCACACTCTGGAAAGTGAATGCTTCCTTCAGTTTTGTTCCTTAGGCATCTCACTTGCCTCACCATAGTCCTAGCCCTGTATGTAATCCATTGTACATTTCTCAAAACTGAGAAATTAACATTGACATTATACTATTAACTATACTACAGACCTTGTTAAATTTCATTAGTGTTTCCACTAATGTCATTTTTCTGTTTAGGATCTAACCCTGGATTCTACATTGCATTTAGTAGCCATGTCTCCTTAGTCTCCTTCATTCTGTAACAGTTTCTTGGTGTTTCCTCTTAAATGAGTTTTATCAGGCTTAGCTTCTATTTTCCAAGCAAAATTTAATTATTACTCTTTGTGTTGTGTGTCAGTCAGTATGTATGAATGGAAGTTCTTTCACACATATTAGGAATGCTGGCATTGTGGAATTTAAAACTAATTTTTGCATTAATGGAAAGCCTATTAAGAAAATAACCATTGCTCACCACTGTTTTCTTAGAGTAAGATTTTGTAGGACATAGATTAGATATTCATAAGTGATTTTTTTTCCCAGCTCTATTGAGATATAATTGACATGTAAGTGATTCTTAATAAGATATTTTAGAATACTAGAGTTTTAGAAAAGTTACAGTATGTAATGAAATAATACCTTATGTTTCAGTTTTTAATTTAAGGGCACATTGCAGTATTTCAGGATCTCATCTTTCTTTTTGGTTTTGGAGATATATTCTCTCTCTCCCTGCACACACACACACACACACACACAGGTAATTATTAGAATGAATCTTTGGCATTTTATCCCCATTAGTCTGATGAGAATATGTAGAAGATGGAAGTGACATTAATCTTTGCCATTTGTGGGAGTAAATTTAGGAAACACCATAAATACAGCCACTAAAAAATGGTAGACTAGGGGTGCCTGGGTGGCTCAGTTGGTTGAGTGTCTGACTCTTGGTTTCGGCTTGGGTCATGATCTCAGGGTCATGAGATAGAGCTCCATGACTGGCTCTGCACTTAGTGGGGAGTCTCTGGAAAATCTCTCCCTCTCCCTTCCCCTTACTTGTGCTAGCCCTCGTACATGTGTGCTTTGTCTCAAATAAATAAATAAATCCTGAAAAAAAAGAAATGGCAGACTAACTAGACCCATAAATGGTTTGTATTCATCTAAGTGCTTATCTTGATCTCTTCATATTCTTTATACTAATGAAATCAAAACAATATAAAAAAACATTCAAGCCTCAACCGTTAATGTCTTTGTCAGAGAACACTTACTGGCATTACTCACCTGCACAAGATGTGGCGCTGTATGCTGCACGAAACAAGTTAGACTCCGCACCCAAAGAGAAACCAGTGTTGACACACGTCAGACTGTAAATGTGGACATGTAACAAGGAAGAGTAGCTGCATCTCATTTCTGTATTTTTATTATAAAGTATCTGATATGTGCAAAAGCAAGTATATAATATGTCACAGTAGTATGATTTTAAGAGTTGTAAGCACTATTGCATAAACCCAGTGAATACATCTGTAGTAGACTGCCTTTAATAATGGATTTCCCAAAAGAAAAATACCATTTTGGTAAATTATACTTTATTTATATTCATGTATCTAATTACACATAAATTATTTGGAAGGAAGGAGGGTGGGGGAAGCCAAGCTTTACCCAACTGATACTCCTGACATCTAAAATGGTACTTCTGTCTATATATTTTTTTTAGCCTGGTGGTTCTTTATTCATTACTACAATCAACAAAACACAGCTGTCTTATGCCTTGGGAATTGTCTTTTCAGAGCAAATTACAGGTATTGTACCAAAAGGTACTCACACATGGGAGAAGTTTGTTTCACCTGAAAAGCTAGAGAGCATTCTGGAATCAAGTAAGTATTAAGAATGTTAACATTTTTCACAGCCTTACTGAACTTTTAATGTATCTATAAATATTAATCACACATCCTGGCACTTAATTAAATGGGCCACTATTCTTTGGATGTTGGTTTCATCTCTCAACTAGATCATAAACTCCTTGAAGTTAGGATTAGGTATTAGATACCATTCTCTCTCACCTGTGGCACCTAACCCAGGGCCAAGCAAATCACAGATGATCAATGAATACTTTTGGGCTGCTTAGTCCTTATTTGTTTAAGGATGAGGTACAAATATCTATTACTTACACATCCTCAGTTGGTCCTATTGAGGTCCTGCATATATCAGCTTATTTTACATATTATTTTTTCTTTTTTTTAAAGATTTTTATTTATTTATTTGAGAGAGAGAATGAGACAGAGAGAGCATGAGAGGGGGGAGGGTCAGAGGGAGAAGCAGACTTCCTGCTGAGCAGGGAGCCCGATGCGGGACTTGATCCCGGGACTCCAGGATCATGACCTGAGCCGAAGGCAGTCGCTTAACCAACTGAGCCACCCAGGCGCCCCGACATATTATTTTTTCTGATTCCTCCATACTCAGGTACACTTGAACTTCCTTGTCACTTTTTATGTATTTTATGCTACTTATAGCATGCCTTATATTATGGTTCTTTTAAGCCCCTATCTGGCCTGTCAGCTCTGTGGAGGCAAGACTGTCTCCTTTTTGTTCTCCCTGCAGTGCCTAGCCCTACTTTATACATTGTGAGCTCTTGATTTATATGGTGAATTCCTATCAAGTAATAACATTTAGTTGGTGTTTGGTATTCCTGCCGAGTACTTAACTCATGTATGTGTCAGGCTTTTTGTTCACGTAACAGTGTATCAGTAAACTTGATTTGGAATATTGGAATAGTATCAATCCAAGGCAATGGAGGAAGTTCTAAGGGCAAGAAAACTAAATTTGACAGTGATGATGAACATGATCAAAATGGTGCATCTGGACCAGTAAAAAGAGCAAGAGAAGAAACAGACAAAGTACTTGCAGTAACTCCGCAAGTAACATTGTTGAAAACAGAGTAGGAAAAATTATTGTAAGATGCTTTATAGGAACATTCACTTGTTGGCAGATATTTTCTAATAAAAGCTTATGTTTATTAAATACTTACCATTCTGAACATTGTGCTACTTTATATGCATATATCATCTAACAACTCTAGGACTATATGTTCTGTACATGTGAGAACATTGAGATTCAGAAAGGTTAAGTGACTTGATGTTGGTCACCATCTAATAAGTGCCAGCCTGGGATTTGAACCCAAGCAGTCTGCTTTAGAGTTTCTGTTCTATGCTATATATAGTAAAGCATGATCTGTACTTGGTTACACAGTATTTTTTCCTATTGAGTCAGGAATCCTTTTTTATTTTTATTTTTTTATTTTATTTTTTGTTTAAGATTTTATTTATTATTATGTCAGAGAGAGAGAGCACAGAAGCAGGGGGGCAGGCAGGGAGAGGCAGAGGGAGAAGCAGGCTTCCCGCTGAGCAAGGAGCTCCATGCGGGACTCGATCCAGGGACTCCAGGATCATGACCTGAGCCGAAGGCAGTCGCTTAACCTACTGAGCCACCCAGGCGCCCCCGGAATACACAAGATTTTTCTTTTTTTTTTTTTTTATTTGAGACAGAACGAGAGAGAGCACATGAGAGGGGGGAGGGTCAGAGGGAGAAGCAGGCTCCCCGCTGAGCAGGGAGCCCGATGCGGGACTCGATCCCGGGACTCCAGGATCATGACCTGAGCTGAAGGCAGACGATTAACCGACTGAGCCACCCAGGCGTCCCAGGAATCCTTTTTTAATATAGAGTCGCATTAGAATCTTGGCATTTGGAAAATTACATATTAAATCCACTCTTTCTGATTGTTTTTTTCAGACGGTCTGTCAGTTCAAACTGTGGCAGGAATGCTCTACAACCCCTTTTCAGGTTACTGGCATTGGAGTGAAAATACCAGCCTGAACTATGCAGCTCATGCTGTGAAGTCCACAGAACAGGAAGACCCAGTGCCTGAGTTTGTTTTCAAGGGGGAAACAGAAGAGCTCAGACATAAAGACTCTACCAACCCAGGTGTGCAGGAAGAGCTGAAGAAGTGAATTGTTTCTAAGGACTATGTATAATATGGCTTGAAAGTCTGATGTTTACATATGTGAAAAACATACACTTTGTCATTTGTGAGTGGATAGTGAAGAAAAGAAAGTCAACAAAAAGGGCTAAAACCTTGGATAAAAGTTTTGGTTGTTTCATCTAATAGCCACTTTCAAGGGATTATTCTGTGGATAAAAAGTTTTGGCAAGGTATTGTGTAATCTGGGCATTTAAATTCCTCAGCCTTTGTTTTATAAATAGGGTATGCATATTTGACTTCACTTTACAGATTATATATATTCATCCAGTATGTATGCACATACGTATATGCCAAAATGTGTTTTAATTTAAAGGAATCTGCATTATCTATGTTCTTTATCAGGTTTTAGCTAAAGGCAGTTATGCTTCTGACTTATGAAAACCAAATATAGTTTTATGCCACTTATATTTGGGAAGACAAAATGTATTTTTTCCTTTAAATTTTAGTATGTTGGAAAGCAAATGGATTGTTAAATCTATGCCGCGTTTGGATTCAAACATTAAAATCAAGAAGTTTGGATGATGTTGGACATACTTCTATACAGTTCCATAAATGTTTTATTGTGACTTTTTTTTTTAAGTAGAAAGGACTTTTTAAAACTCAATTAAAAATTCAGTTATGGAAATTTTCTTCTTTGGCTAACATTTTTATAATTGAAGGGACTGACTTGAAATGTATTTTTATGCTTCTTGAAGTATGTGAGTCCCTGGCTTTTTCTGAAAGTCCAGATGCTCTATATAAAGACATTCATAGAGGCTGTTAACCCAGTGTGACAAACATGGATTGAATGTGTGTGACCCAGGTGGAAGGTCAGCTTTTTAACTTCCTATCATTTTTCACTTTTACACTCATGTTTCCTGTATTCCTTTGTCAGTGTCTGTTAGAATTAGCTCCTCAGGCAAACACTTCCCAGCCACCTTAGCTTATCATTTGCTTGTTCTCAGCGGCATTATAGGGGAGGAAACTGAAATTTAAAGAATTAAAAGAGGAATTTTAACTTCAGTTGCTGTTGTGTAATTAAGGTGCTAAAAATTAGGAGCTAAAAATTGGTCTCCCTTTAAAAGTTAGATTCTTAGTCCGAATTCTAGTAGTTTTTTTTTTTTAATTTTATTATGTTATGTTAGTCACCATACAATACATCATTGGTTTTTGATGTGGTGATTCACGATCCATTGTTTTCGTATAACACCCAGTGCTCCATGCAGTACGTGCCCTCCTTAATACCCATCACTGGGCTAATCAATCCCCCCTCCCACCTCCCCTCTAAAACCCTGTTTGTTTCTCAGGTCCATAGTCTCTCATGGTTCATCTCTCCCTCCAATTCCCCCTCCCCATTTTTCCCTTCCTTCTCCTCATGTCCTCCATGTTATTCCTTATGTTCCACAAATAAGTGAAACCATATGATAATTGACTTTCTCTGCTTGACTTATTTCATTTAGCATAATCTCCTCCAGTCCCATCCATGTTGATGTAAAAGTTGGGTATTCATCTTTTCTGATGGCTGAGTAATATTCCATTGTATATATGGACCACATCTTTTTTTTTTTTAAGATTTTATTTATTTATTTGAGAGAGAGAGAATGAGAGACAGAGAGCATGAGAGGGAGGAAGGTCAGAGGGAGAAGCAGACTCCCTGCCAAGCAGGGAGCCCGATGCGGGACTCGATCCCGGGACTCCAGGATCATGACCTGAGCCGAAGGCAGTCGCTTAACCAACTGAGCCACCCAGGCGCCCCAGGACCACATCTTCTTTATCCATTCATCTGTTGAAGGGCATCTCGGCTCTTTCCACAGTTTGGCTATTGCGGACATTGCTGCTATGAACATTGGGGTGCATATGGCCCTTCTTTTCACTACATCTGTGTCTTTGGGGTAAATACCCAGGAGTGCAATTGCTGGGTCATAGGGTAGCTCTATTTTTAAATTTTTGAGGCACCTCCACACTGTTTTCCAAAGTGGCTGTACCAACTTGCATTCCCACCAACAGTGTAAGAGGGTTCCCCTTTCTCCACAACCTCTCCAACATTTGTTGTTTCTTTCCCTGTCCATTTTTGCCATTCTAACTGGTGTAAGGTGGTATCTCAATGTGGTTTTGATTTGGATTTCCCTGATGGCTAATGATGATGAACACTTTTTCATGTGTCTGTTAGCCATTTGTATGTCTTCTTCAGAGAAGTGTCTTTTCATCTCTTCTGCCCACTTTTTGACTTGATTATTTGTTTTTTGGGTGTTGAGTTTGAGAAGGTCTTTATAGATCTTGGATACCAGCCCTTTATCTGTAGTGTCATTTGCAAATATCTTCTCCCATTCTGTGGGTTGCCTCTTTGTTTTGTTGACTGTTTCCTTTGCTGTGCAGAAGCTTTTTATCTTGATGAAGTCCCAAAAGTTCATTTTTACTTTTGTTTCACTAGCTTTTGGAGATGTATCTTGAAAGAAGTTGCTGTGGGTGATGTCAAAGAAGTTACTGCCTATGTTCTCCTCTAGGATTTTGATGGATTCCTGTCTCACATTGAGGTCTTTCATCCACTTTGAGTTTATCTTTGTGAATGGTGTTAGAGAATGGTCGAGTTTCATTCTTCTGCATGTGGCTGTCCAATTTTCCCAGCACCATTTATTGAAGAGACTGTCTTTTTTCCATTGCGTGTTTTTTCCTGCTTTGTCAAAGATTATTTGACCATAGAGTTGAGGGTGCATACCTGGGTTCTCTCTTCTGTTCCATTGGTCTATATGTCTGTTTTTGTGCCAGTACCATGCTGTCTTGGTGATCACAGCTTTGTAATAGCTTGAAATCGGGCAACGTGATGCCCCCAGCTTTGTTTTTCTTTTTCAACATCTCCTTGGCGATTCGGGGTCTTTTCTGATTCCATACAAATTTTAGGATTGTTTGTTCCAGCACTTTGAAAAATGTCATTGGAATTTTAATCGGGATGGCATTGAAGGTATAGATTGCTCTGGGTAGCATAGACATTTTAACAACGTTTATTCTTCTGATCCATGAGCATGGAATATTTTTCCATCTTTTTGTCTTCTTCAATTTCTTTCATGAGTGTTTTGTAGTTCCTAGAGTATAGATCCTTTACCTCTTTGGTTAGGTTTATTCCGAGGTATCTTATGGTTTTGGTGCTATTGTAAATGGAATCATTTCTCTAATTTCTCTTTCTACAGTTGCGTTGTTAGTGTGTAAGAAAGCAACTTATTTCTGTGCATTGATTTTGTATCCTGCCACATTACTGAATTGCTGGATGAGTTCTAGTAATTTCAGGGTGGAGTCTTTTGGGTTTTCCACATAAAGTATCATGTCGTCTGCGAAAAGAGAGAGTTTGACTTCTTTGCCAATTTGAATACCTTTTATTTCTTTTTGTTGTCTGATTGTTGTTGCTAGGACTTCTAGTACTATGTTGAACAACAGTGGTGAGAGTGGGCACCCTTGACGTGTTCCTGATCTTAAGGGAAAGGCTCTCAGCTTATCCCCATTGAGGATGGTATTCGCTGTGGGTTTTTCATAGATGGATTTTATGAACTTGAGCAATGTTCCCTCTATCCCTATACTCTGGAGAGTTTTAATCAGGAAAGGATGTTGTATTTTGTCAAATGCTTTTTCTGCATCAATTGAGAGGACTATATGGTTCTTCTCCCTCCTCTTATTAATGTGTTCTATCACATTGATTGATTTGTGAATGTTGAACCACCCTTGTATCCTGGGGATAAATCCCACTTGGTCGTGGTGGATGATCCTTTTAATGTATTGTTGGATCCTATTAGCTAGGATTTTGTTGAGGATTTTGGAATCCATATTCATCAGGGATATCGGTCTGAAATTCTCCTTTTTGATGGGGTCTTAGCTTGATTTGGGGATTAAGGTAATGCTGGCCTCATAGAATGAGTTTGGAAGTTTTCCTTCTGTTTCTATTTTTTGAAACAGCTTCAGTAGAATAGGTATTATTTCTTCTTTGAATGTTTGGTAGAATTCCCCAGGGAATCCATCAGGCCCTGGACTCTTGTTTTTTGGGAGGTTTTTGATCACTGCTTCAATCTTGTTACTGGTTATTGGCCTATTCAGGTTGTCCATTTCTTCCTGTTTCAGTCTTGGCAGCTTATAGGTTTCCAGGAAGGCCTCCATTTCATCCAGATTGCTCAGTTTATTAGCATATAGTTGTTGATAATAATTTCTAATAATTGTTTCTATTTCCTTGGTGTTAGTCATGATCTCTCCCCTTTCATTCATAATTTTATTAATTTGGGTCCTTTCTCTTTTCTTTTGGATAAGTCTGGCCAGTGGTTTATCGATCTTATTAATTCTTTCAAAGAACCAACTTCTAGTTTCGTTGATCTGATCTACTGTGTTTCTGGTTTCTAATTCATTGATTTCTGCTCTAATTTTAATTATTTCTCTTCTAGTGCGTGGCTTAGGCGTCATTTGTTGCCTTTTCTCTAGTTCTTTTTTTTTTTTTTTTAAAGATTTTATTTATTTATTTCAGAGAGAGAATGAGAGAGAGCACATGAGAGGGGGGAGGGGCAGAGGGAGAAGCAGACTCCCTGCCGAGCAGGGAGCCCGATGCGGGACTCGATCCTGAGACTCCAGGATCATGACCTGAGCCGAAGGCAGTCGCTTAACCAACTGAGCCACCCAAGCACCCTCTAGTTCTTTAAGATGTAGAGTTAGTTGGTGAATTCGGGATTTTTCTATTGTTTTGAGGGAGGCTTGGATGGCTATGTATTTCCCCCTTAGGACCACCTTTGCAGTATCCCATAGGTTTTGGACCGATGTGTTTTCATTCTCATTGATTTCCATGAATTGTTTAAGTTCTTCTTTGATTTCCTGGTTGACCCAAACATTCTTGAGCAGAGTGGTCTTTAGCTTCCAAGTGTTTGAATTTCTGCCAATTTTTTCTTGTGATTGAGTTCCAGTTTTAGAGCATTGTGGTCTGAGAATATGCAGGGAATAATCTCAATCTTTTGGTATTGGTTGAGACTTGATTTGTGACCCAGTATGTGGTCTATTCTGGAGAAAGTTCCATGTGCGCTCAAGAAGAATGAGTATTCTGTTGTTTTAGTGTGGAATGTTCTGTAAATATCTATGAGGTCCATCTGGCCCAATATATCATTCAGAGCTCTTGTTTCTTTGTTGATTTTCTGCTTAGATGATCTGTCCATTGCTGAGAGTGGAGTATTGAGGTCTCCTACAATTAACGTATTGTTATCAATATGACTCTTTATTTTGGTTAACAGTTGGCTTATGTAGATGGCTGCTCCCATTTTGGGGGTGTAGATATTTACAATTGTTAGATCTTCTTGTTGGATAGACCCTTTAAGAATGATATAGTGTCCTTCTGTGTCTCTTATTACAGACTTTAGTTTAAAATCTAATTTGTCTGATATAAGAATTGCTACCCCAGCTTTCTTTTGAGGTCCGCTGGCATGGAAGATAGATCTCCATCCTTTCACTTTCAGTCTGGATGTATCTTTAGGTTCAAAATGAGTCTCTTGTAGACAGCATATGGATGGGTCCTGTCTTTTTATCCAATCTGCAACCC